AGCACCAGAATGGAAAAGACCCAGCCTTCTCTCCTGCCTTAGCCCTGCCCCCCCACCAACCTGAAAGTACGTGGAAGTTGTGTTAGGGAGAGCAAGGGCTGTTTCCCACACTCTTCACCTCCTCAATCTTTCTGGAAGCATGTATGGTCCATCAGTAAGCAGCTGATGGACCTCGTCTCTTATCCTAACTGAAACCTAATGACGCCACTTCCCCTGCAGTCTTCTCGTGAGGAGACCACAGGGGAGGCTGGCCCCCTCCTCATGGAACTGGAGAATTATTCTCGTTCCCCATCACTGCTTCCGTTTCTCCTCCTGCCTCTTTTAGAGTCACGCCTACCTCTTTGTTGCTGTCATCTGCCTCCTCATTAGTGAGGGCTCTAGCAGTTGGTTTATTATCTTTTCTCCTATTATTGTTCCTGTTGTCATTCTTGGCAACTTCAATAACCTCATGGATGAGCCATCCAGGGGACTTCCCTGGTGGTCCAGTGGTTAGGACTCTGTGCTTCCACCGCAGGGGGCACAGGTTTGATCCCTGGTCAGGGAATTAAGATCCCGCATGCCTCGTGGTGTGGCAGAAAAAACAAAACAAAAAGCTAACAGTTAAAAAAATAAAAAAGAGCCATCCAATACCTTGGGCTGTCAGTTCTGCAGACTCCTCACTTCCACACCTCCAGTGAAGACATGCTTCTCCATCCTACCTGCATGGTCATTTCTTTGACCTTCTCACCAATAAGTGCACCACCATGGACACCTCCACTCTCTGACCACTGCCTCTTCTTCTTGCCACTCACCTACCTTGGTGCTCCCATCCCAACAATCCTTCAGCTCCAGCCATTCTCCAATCTACTGACCGCCTCCTGCTTTCTCACTCACTCTCAGTCATGACTCACTTCCCTCTTTAGCCAATTTAGGACACACGGTCCACTCTTACAACTCTCTAAACAGCCCGTCTTCTTTGCCTCACGCTGTGTGCATTACAATCGTCCGGCTAGTTAAACACAACTGTCTGCCACCTTGATGCCTGCACTCTAGCAGCTGAGCCATGCTGATGGGTCCTCCTTTAAAGTCGGGGTCATCTGTTGCAGGTAAATAGGCGTTCACCCACCCCCCCCCACCAGGCTTCCGAGGGGTGGTGGTTTACCTAGCCTCCAGAACAACGTCTCATACCTTCTTGTCTCTCTTCAAACCACTACTCCCTTTCTGCCCCTCTCTGACTCCATACCCCACTGGTGACCTTGGCTTGTATGTCCTTCAAAAGCTGATGGAACTCTACCTTCTTCCCTCCACCAAAGCTACCCACCCACCTGTACCCATAACCTTTCTCTCCCTTCTTTCCTGTCGCAAAGGAAGAAGTGTCCTTTCCTCTACCAAAGGCTAAGCTTCTGTTACAGGATCCCAGGCCTCTGATTTTCTCCCAGATTCTGTCTCTTCTACATACATCATTGATGCCTCCCTCTCCACTGGACCAATTCTATCATCTCTGTATCTCCTGACACTTCTGGGAGGTACACACTCCAGAGAGGTGGCTCGTCCCCAGTCACACAGGCCTCCCAGCTCTAGCCCAGGATGGTACCACCAGCCTTGCTGTCTCTTCCATTTTTCAAGCATTAGAAGGAGCTGCTGTTGATACTTCAAAACATCTAGGGTCCCTCTCTCCAGAGGTAGCGATCCATCCTCCTTGTTCCTGAGGTTCAGATCATTTTTGTCGTAAGACATCTGTTCCCAGGGACCATGGCGAGGCTGATTTTGTCACATGTAGAAGTCTGGAGAACTGCAGAGATGAGTGGGAGGAGTGTGCTAGGCCTGACAGCTAGATTCTTGAGAAAAGGTATGAAATTAGTCCACCAAGATCTGGAGGAGATGAATCTCCCTGCACTTCATTGTAGGCTTCACAGGACCTGAGAATTGAGGAAACACTTCCGTATTTCGGGCCAGGAAGCTATGGGTTCTGATACCAGCTCATGCTTTCCTGGGCGGTATGATGTTTAGCAGATGATGTAATGTCTCTGAACCTCAGCGTATTCATCTGGAAAATGGGGAGAATAATAAATACCTCAAAGGAGATTCTACAACAAGAATGAAATGAGAGCACCCGTGTCGAGCTCTGGGCACCCAGTGAGCACTCCGTTCGGATTAGTTTTCTCTCTGCTTCCTTATTGGCCCAGCTGGATGACCCAGGCAATTGTGGGTGGGTATAGACTGGGCTGTCTACTTGTTGGGACCTTAGAAAGTCATCAGAGACCTCCTGCCTCAGCAGGAAGGCTGTTTCTTGCACATTAACCCTTCTGTCACCTCAAAGTTTTTAACCAGGGAATGCCTTTCCAAAACTTCACATTCAGCAAAGCCCTAACTAGAGCCTCAGGGCAGGGAGGGAAAGAATGTAACAAACTATCGACTGAGGCTGTCAGAGTCATGCAGTCTGCATCACTCTTCTCACAGGATGTAAAGGTGACCTGTCTGCAATTACCCAGCTGTTAGTCTCAGAGCGAAGATGAGAGTCTAGGTCTTCTGAACCTTGGCCAAAACTTGTAACACCTTCAAAAGGCCATCAGCAAGACTTACGACACCCCCCAGAGTGCAAATCCATTTCTTTTTACAACTAAGATATTCTACAAACTAAGATCTAGCACGACTGTGGTGCTTGATACAAAGAGTGAATCTTATTACATGTAAATTTTAAAGGGAGGAAAGAAAACCTTCCACGTAGATTATCTTAATTACCAAGTGGCTTTTAGGACTTCTGTTTTTCCCTGGTTAGAGAAAATATTTGAGTTGCTTGGGCTTCTTTTTCATAAACAGCCATTTCTCTCTCTCCGTCGTGGTTTTCACTTTCCGCTTTGCGATGTTCTTTCCATCTTTTGCATCATCTCACAATCTGTGAGATACACAGGCAGTCATTATCATCCCTTTTCCCCAAGGAGTGTGAACGTCACGTAGACCCAGGTTCAAACCCCAGCTCTGTCACTCACCACCTGTGTCAGCTTGGGCAGGTTATAAACCTCTCTCGAGCCTCACTTTCCTCAACTTTAAATAAAAATGGCTGTAATACCTTCCTCAGTAGGCTGTGGTGGGGACTGAGTTGAATACATTTCCCAAATGTCCTCGATGATGAGAATCCTCTGGGCACTTGTTAAAACACAGATTCCTGGGCACCGCCTCAGAGCCACTGAACCAGAATTCCCAGGGCTGAGACCTGGCAGTCTGACAAGCCCCAGGGATTCTTATCAGGGAAATTTGGGCAACACTAGGCTGATTTTTATAAAGTATTTATTGTGTGCCTGTCACTAAGCAGCTAATATTTACCAAGTACTTATATATGTGCTCAATCTTCAAAATGGGGGTAATAATGACTACCAGATAGGACATTATGAGAAACGAGCAAAATAATGTACAATGCCCAGCAAACAATACTCACTTCACTGTGTTAGTCAGGACTGTCTCAGGCTGAAATGGAAACATCTAGAGGTTCTCTCCAAGGGATGTACCTCCATCCTCCCAGCCCCGTCCATACCCCCAGTAGGAGGTTTCTCATTTTCCAAATCCCAGGGACCAAGCCTCATTTAACCAGTTTGGGTTCCAGGCTCCTCCTTGTACCAGTCACTATGGTCAAAGTTTGGAATATGCTGACTGGCCAGGACAGTGTCACCTGCTCACCCCAAGAACCAGAGCAGTGGGGAAGCCCCATCTGAGCTTCAGGAATGGGAGTGGTCCACATCCATGTGAGTCCTTCCAGCAGTCCCTTGTAGTGTTGTTGCCAGACCAAGAGCAACTGATGCTTGGCCGGCAACTACACTGATGTCTCCTTCATCAGCTCCTAAAGTCAGAGACAGTTAGCAGTCTATACAGATGCCCCATCAGGTTTGAATCTTTCTCCAGTCTCTCCCCTTGCTGGCATATTCGTGGCTATCTCGAGGGCCTCAGGCCGATTCAGCCTCAGACCTGCCCTCATCTGTCCCACCATCTCTAGCCCTCTCCTTGGCCCCGCTCACCCCTGGGTCCAGCAGGCCACAGGGGCCTGTCCAAGGGCTGGTCCAGGGACTCAGGTCAGCCATTATCCAAAGCCGCTTTATTAGGGATCCACTGGGAATCCTTCCAACCAAGAACAATGAGTTTCTGAATCAGGATAAAAACAGCCTTTTCAAGTCAGCAAATGAGACAAACTGAATTGCTCATCCCCTCTTCCCTCATCTGCCTGGCTCTTTCAACACAGTGGATGAGAACAAGGTCTCTTGCATCAGAAAGACATAGGTTTGAGGCTAGTTGTCTCATCTCTCTGAGCCTTGGTTACATCTAGGAAATCTGCATGAGGATGAGGGAGGCGATGGATATAGCACATGACACAGAGTAGGAACTCATGATCAAGAATCATCACATTACCAAGAAATGCACACCCTTTTCAGGGATGATCAATCCCAGATACTACCCACTGTGAGTATTTAAAAACATAGGCTGCGCTCCAAAGCCACATGAAACAGAGAGATGTGCCACGCATTCACTACATCCTGTCCCCCAAGGCTCGGTTGTGTTCTGGAAGACACTGCACTGTGTACCTTCTGCATCTCATGACAGCTGGCTTCCCCGCAACCACACGGTGCAGCTGCGAGAGATGTGGTGCTTCAGAAGCCCAGGAATGGGAGTCCTGGGCTCCGGCTGGGCTCTGGCACTGCCTTGCAGGGTGACCTTGGGCACGTCACCTACGCTCCCTGGGTTTTGGTTTCCTCTTTCATCGAATGAGAGGGCTGGTTGATGACTAGGTGGTTTCTAAGGGCCCTTCCGTTTCAGGGGGCCATCCTATGGCATTCACTAGACCCGGTGGGGAAACCTGTCACCGGGGCTGTGCTGGGCAGGGGGTGAGGAACTGCTTCGACACAGCTGGCCCACACAGGTGGTTGCAGCTGGGGGAGGAGTCGACGGGAGGCACTGTAGTGGAAGGGAAGAGGGCTGGTGCTGGAACCACACACCCCTAGTTTATTACTGATGCTTCTCTTTTCTGGCTGCAGGACCTTGGGCCAATCACATTCTGAGCCACCTGTGTAACAAGGGCAATGGCACCCACCTAAGGTGGTTGTGAGGATTCATCTCAAATGAATGAGATGCTGCACGTAAAGCATGGGACCCGGCACACAACAAGAACTCGATAAAGGTCAGCTCTTACTGCCTCTCCCCCTCTGGATGACCTTCCCCTTCCTCCTTGCCATTCGTGACTAAGTTCGATGAAATGGAAATAGCCCAAACAGGTTTGACCCTGCCTCCCCCTCTTCTTACCTCCAAGTCACTGGACCTAGGTTTTCCTCATCAGTAAAATGGGCACAAGACCGTATCTCAGGTGCTGATGTAACTGCTTGATATGACTGACATAGATAGGGTTTTCCTCCCTTGGTCCCATCAGCATGAACCCATCCATCATCATCCACTTTACCTTACATTTTATAGCATTTACTTCCATATCTACGTGAAGTTAACCAATCCTTAAAGTCCCCATGGAGTCAGGGCCAGAAAACCTGAGTCCAGGCTTGAGTGCCTCTGGATTTCACTCCACTGCCATGTTCCTTCACCAGCTCTGGGAGGGTCAGAGCATGCCTGGCCAGTTCGTCCTCATAGTCCTGATGCCTAGCATAGGACCTGGCCTCAAGGCCACCTCCCAAGCCTACACCTGGAGCCAGAGGATGTCTGTCTGCTCCAAAGAAGAGGGCAGTAGGTGTCAGGGTACCACCCAGGGGGTGGGGTGGGTCAGTCTCTCCTGAGAACACCTCATTCTGCTGGAATTACACAGGATCTAGGGCTTGCTGTCGGGTTCAAGGCCATACGGCTGAGAATGAATATATGTGTATAAATTACCACAGTATATTGGTATAACCCTTCTGGAAAACATGGAACCTTGCACATGAGCCTTATACATGTCACCTTTTGGTGTAGTGACTCTGCAAAGTATAACAGAATGTCTAGTGGTAGGTTGGAAATAACCCAAACATCTTACCGTTTGGTTAGAATTAAGCAAATCAGAAGTTAATGGACTACTACATAGCCATTTCAGATACACGCTTGTAAAGACTCTTTAGAGGTAGAGAAATTATAATTAACGTTAAGTGAAAAAAGCAACAAATTTGTTGTGTACATTCCTCAGGTTTTCCTGTATTCTTTTTACAGTCTGAACAACAAAACAATGAAAGATATTCAAAGTAAGGTCCCAAGGCTGGCCTTCCTGGTGAGTGTTTTTTAATAACTCTTTTTATACCTTCCTCTCTTTAAATCACCACACCCACTTCCCTGCCCAAATGAAGTTTTTAATGAAGACAGCACACCACCGAGTCTCAAGTTGAGACCCAAAGTACCCAGACTTAGTGTATCAGGTTATATATCCTGTAAGAAAGACAATTTCATCAGGTAACCAATGTGAAGCTCGCCCCTGCACCCCCATCAGCTAGCAGGTTATCTGGAATTCATCCTAGATCAATGACCTGTTGGACTCAAAGAAGCCACCCCCAAAAAAATTGTATAAAAAGATTTATTGAAATTTATCAATGACAAACAGACATAAAACTCAAAGTTTGGCTCTTCTGAGGGGGAGGAAAACTGATGCAGATGTTCTTTTATACAGATGAAACACGGGCTAAGGGATCACACGTCACTTCAAAAGCAATCCAGAAGAGGGACAGGAAAGCAAACCTGTACATTCGCTAGGAATTTGCAGTCATTTCAGATTTCCACTAGGTAAGAAAATACAATTTTGCGTTAGTTTTTCCGTGCTCGGGTGTATGAAAAAAAAACCCAGCCGACATGCAGCAGCGTCTCCTGTGCTTAGGTTAGTAAAAATGGTCTAAGCACAGAAGGACACGTAGAAGAATTCTCTTGTCATTTTGTAAAACAAAGCGTTCTAATATTTTACAGAACAAGATAGGACAGTTTTGTTTTTAATCTTCGAAAGAGGTTGAAGTTTGAGGGTTTGCTTCTTCTCTTTTAATTAGAATTACCAAATCCATTTTACTCCTAACTCAGAAGCCTGCTGCTCTCAGCTCTCTGGCTCATCACAAGAGTGACACCAGAGTCTTCTTCGGACAGCGGAGCCCACCACCATCTGTGAAGAGGGAAAGGGGACGGGAGATGGGGAAGATCCCCCGACTAGTGCCAAAATACGCCTTTTGGTTGCTATTTACAAACCAGGGCGCTGGCTGCCTCTAGCGGGCCCAAGAAAGGCGGAAATCACGGGAACCAGAACAAGAGGTAAGATGCGGCTGGTGCTCAGCCCCTCCTGGGCTTTGGGAAACCAAACTGAGGCCAGCCATGGCCTTCCAACCAACTCAAGAGACTCGGGAAATACCAGGAAACGTCAGAGATCTCCAAACCGTCCTCTTTGAGGGTAAGGAACAAACGCTCACTTGTGTGTGTACTCAGCTATCGTAAATTTATCAGGGACAAAACAGACACAAAGAAAAAGTAGGGGAAAAAAATAAAGAGTGGCAGTAAAAATAGTATTTTATTCCACCCCCTCCCCCCTCCCTCCCCCCACAACCCCCAGTACACTTTTCCCCTCTCGTTCCCACAGCAACGTTACAATCAGAAAAAAATAAGTTTCGGGGAGCGGGATTTGGGGGGGTACGGGTAAAAACAGTCAAATCACAATAGGAATTTTTCAAAATAGGTTATTCCACTTAGTCATCGTCTTCTCCCTCATCTTCAGGTTCTCGTTTTCGCTTCTGACCCCTTTCTTCTTCTGGAAAAGTAAGGAAAAGGCATTCAGATTAAACACGGATCCTGCCTCCTACTCAACCCCCCCCCGCTGGGAAAGCAGGGGACCATACGTCTAGGATGCTTTGCCAACCCTGGCAAACCAAGGCCAGGTCCTCAGGACCCAGGCCATCTACTGTCAACTGAGGGGGCCAGCCTGCTACCCGCGGAGAGTAAAAACGCTGCCGTACCACCAAGCTCCTCTTCATCTTCCTCATCGTCTACTTCCCCATCGTTATAACCTTCCTCATCCTCCTAGGAGAGAAGATGGACACCGGACATTAGGAACGCCCCGACCGTGGGACACGTGGAGGATGCCACTTTCCCTGACACCGAGCTCAGAAAGGTAGGGGCCGCCCCCAAGCCCCTCAGAGCTCCCACAGACCTGCTTCGCACCGGTGAACCTAAAGCAGAGGTTCTTTTGTATCAAGGACCCCCCCTTTAAGAATCTGTAGAAAGTTTTGAACCCCTTCCCTAGAAAATACCCACATTACACACAATAGCTGCAAACAATGTCAGCAGAGGGGGGTGGATTCTATCCCCCGTTAAGAATTCCTGACCTGAAGTCCCTATAACTCAGGCAGCTCCGCAGTGTGCCCTCCTAGGGGAACAAGTTTCCCAGCCGACTCTCCATCGTGTGAAGTAGGCCGAGCTTTCATCTGTCCTCACTCTAGTTTTGGCTTCAAGAGAAGACCCCAGTCCAGACCCCAGTCTGTGGGTGAGTGCAGCCCCTTCACCGTCTTGCAAACTTGGGTCACTTGGAGGGAGGAAAAATACAATTCTCACCCCCTGCCCAGGACATCACTCCCACCTCCGTGAGATTCAGCAAGGGATGTGAATTCACCCTCAACACAGGACCACGCTTCACGCTGCTCTGGTAGATCCAGGCTAGTTGAATCTCTGCATGAACACTGTTCCTAAAGTACCAGGCAGCCCATTGTTTAATAAGAACTTGGCAATAGACTTCTTTTTGTCAAGGGAAATATCCTTTCATAATGTCACCAAATAGTTCCTTAATCAGTCTGTTTGCTAAGACTGTGTGTGTGTGTGCGCTCTCCTTTACTGGAAGCTGGAAATTTGCAGATAGTCAATGAGATTACTAAAAACAACCACAGCAAAAAACCAACCCCAAACCAAAAACAACCTCTACATGTTGGCGGCTCCTGACAGGAAGAGCAAGACGAAAAATCCATTAGCCAACATGACTTATTGCCCTGTCCTAGGGGGGCCTATTTTGCTAGGTCTCTATTTTTAAAATACACAATATTCTTCAGAGGTGAGCCTAGCAGCCTACACCTGGGTAGAAGAGACACCCAGCAGCACAACTTGACGGGAACCAAGCCTATCTCACCAGTTTTCTCACTAACCCCGACCTGCCTCTCCCCAGCTTGTGGGGGGCTGGCTGGGAGATCCCGCCTGAGCAGGTCTGTGTGGCAGACAGGTATCTGTGCCCTTGATGGAGAGAGACAGGGAACGGGGGGGAGAAGGCAGGTACCTTGTCCATGCTGTCATCATTTTAAACCTCTCTCGGTCTAAGTTTTGCAATTAGCAAGAGTTGGTTTAGAAATCTGAAAGCCAGGGAAAATGACTCTGCTATTGAAAGACTCAGAACATCCAAACACAAAACCCAGCACACAGAGCCAGGACCTTGGAGAAGGGTGTGAAAGCCTAAAGCAGTAAGTGGGCAAACACTCCCTTGTCCTTAAACATTTTACTTACAAATTATTTTATCCTCTTAAGCCATTGAGTTGATCCCTATTTACAACCCCGCTGTAAAATGACACCTATTATACAGATGAGGAAATAGGTTCAGAAGGTCAAGGAACTTGTCCAGGGACACCCAGCTAGCAAGTGGTAGAAGCTGGGATCCACCCCATCACAGACACATCCCAGACCTTGTTAAAAAATGATGCCAGACAGTGTTTGGATAATGGCACTATCCGCTGTGTACAGGGGGCCCTTGTCACCCTCTGATGTGGAATCCAGCAGTGTCTTATCCTATTACCCACCAGTTCAAGGCAGTCTTTGATTTTCCCTAGCACACTGTAAGTGCTCACTGAATATCTGAATTAACATACTAATGCAAAGAGGCAGAAAAAGGGGATGTGGATTCTACAGGAACTAATTTTCATGTGGAAACAAGTGCCAGGCTTGCCCCAGCAGATGAATCCCCTCCCTCTTTCTTTTCCAGGGCCAGCTGCAAGGCTTGCCTTTCCCAGACCAACCCAGTAACAGGCCCTGAAATGGGTTCAATTCCCAGCCAGGGCTCCCGGCTGCCGAGGCGGATCACTGAGGCAGTTAGTGGGACTGACTCAGAGGCAGCAGGGTAAGTGAGGGGGGCTCTGAGAGACGGTTCCCTGCCCAGCCCAACCTCTCACCTCTTCCTCTCCACTCACATCCTCCTCTTCACCTTCCTCCTCCTCCTCCTCGTCCTCCTCATCTTCCACTACCTGAGCATCTTCATCGTACTCTTCCTCTGTGCAGTGGGAATGGGGACAAGAACAAACTGGTGGTGAGCTGGCCCTTCCCTCCCACAGCACAGGCCTGGGGCCTGGCACCAGAGGTGTGGGGCCCACGACTCTCCCACGCCCATCCAGGCCCACAGCCTGGATGCTCTAATGTGACTGAACGCATCCTAAAGTAACCCAAAAGATAAGCATCCTAAAATGATCCCAAAGGTAAGCCCTCCTCCCAAGTATTACGAAGACAAAAGATCTCTCGTGGAGGCTGAGATGGGAGAGAAAATGCCGGATCAGAGAACCAAGTTACAGGCCTGGGACAGCTGAGAAGTCAAACGCACTGCCCTAAAGGTGAGGAAACTGAGTCCCAGAGGGGGAGAAGTGAGTTGTTCAAGGTCACACCTGGAGTTAGCGGCAGATCTGAGCCTAGAAGCCTGGTCTCAGGGCTCCAGTCCTGGAACCTTTCTGTCCCATCACAAGATGGAACAAACTAAGACAAACAGGGTGTCTGAATCCCTTGTAACATACTCCCACCTAACAAGGGAAAAGCACTCTTACATCTGAATTATTCAGGCAAGGTCTCAACCCTCAACTTTACTCTGGCCACAGAGACCTGCAGGGAATCCGCAGTGAGCTGGCAGCGTGGGAAGGAAATGCGAGGCTCTCCTTCCTTTTCCTTCTTTCCTTCCTGTGGTCCCTGACTGCTCACCACACCACCAGGGAGCCCAACGTGCTGCCTGCAGCCTCCTCTGCTTCCTGGGCCCCTGGAGCTCCTGAGTCCTCATCCCCCAGGTCCTACCATGTGGTCCCGTGGGCGGCAGTCAGCTGGGGGCCCCACGACCTCTCCAGCTGTGACCTCATCTCCACTACTGGACCCTAGATGGAGAGAGGGGACCCTCAGGCCACACCCCACCTTCCTCCATCTGCTCATCCCCTCCCTGGAAGAGTATCTGAGTCCAGCACCACACTATAGAGAGACACTGTAGGATCTCATTTTCAGGGGGACTTTGGAAAAGGGAAAGAAATTGAAGGAAGATTCAGATGGTTTTTAAGGAGTTATTATGCAGTTGGAGAACCTCAGGATGTTTCTCTTGGGCTCAGGCCCTGTTATTTTAGGGGCGTCCATCAATGAGACAGACCAGGGACAACAGTAAACAGAGCAGACAGCCCACTCCCCTCCACAGTTCTAGAAAGAGGTCAGTAGCCCTCGGGGGCCGGTGGGGGCCCCCTGACACCCAGCCCGCCCCCCCCATAAAGCCTGGCCTGGCCTCTCCCTGGTGCCACTCACCATCCTCATCCTCCTCGTCATCCTCCAGGCCCTCCACGTAGCCCTCGGCGTCCGAGTCGGGGGCCTCCTTGTCGTCCCGATCGTAGCCATCGAGATACGTGAGCTGAGGAAGGAGCTTGAACACGTTTTCTCGGTAGTCGTTCAGGTTGGTCACCTCGCAATTGAAAAGGTCTAAGCTCTTGAGGTTTTCTAACTTTTTCTGCAAGCAAACAACAAAGTTGACAGTGAGCGGCGTGGGAGGCGGGGTGGGGAGACAGATGGGGGTGAGGTGAGACGGCGTGCAGAGCTCCAGGCTCACAGGTGATGAGCACACTCTGGTTTGGCCCTGCCCGGCCGTCTCAGCCCTGGTCGGGGGGCCTCGTGTTCATTCACGTGGAAGATGGGAAGTTGGACTTGAGGATCTTCGAAGCCTCATCCGACGCCAACACTTTTATTCTGCAATTACAGCTCCTGCCGTAACAGTGACGCACCTGAAATTAAGCCGGGGCTCTCTTGGGATCAGCCAGGAGCTTTGCCGCCTGCCCCTGTGACTGAGGAGCCAGAGAGGAACTGAAAAGGCCACAGGAACAACAAACTACCTCCTTCTATGAAGAATAATAATAATGGAAGTTAACATAGCACGCTTTGCTGCCTGCCCCTGTGACTGAGGAGCCAGAGAGGAACTGAAAAGGCCACAGGAACTAACAAACTACCTCCTTCTATGAATAATAATAATAATGGCAATTAACATAGCACTTTATAGATTAACTCAATTTATCCTCATGACCCCGATAAGGCAGAAATAAATATTCGTTCATTTTACAGACAAGGAAGTAGAGGGCAGAGAATTGGGATTTGATCAGGCAGCCCAACTTCAGACCTGGGCTCTTACCCTTTGCCTGTCAAAAAGGACAAGAGAAAAACCAGTGAAGCATCCAGATTTTGTCCATAGTACTTAACACAATTTGCTTTATCAAAGCTTTTATGTATCGATGGGTTCTAGGCCCATATTATACCCACTTGGTGGCTGGAATCTGAGGCCCAGGAAGCAAAACGGTCATACATCTAGCAAGAAACAGCTGCCTCCTGACTTCCTACCTCACACGTCTTCAAGGCGCAGGAACCCCACCCCGGGCCAAGTCCCTGTTCCAGTGGGGCCAGGCGTAACTGGTGATTAAGGCTACTGTCCCTCAGGGTCAATGTCAGGAATGAGGCTGCTCTCTTGAGATTTCGTGACTGAGACCCCGGTCATTCTCAGCAGAGGGTCAAGGGCAGGGAAGGAGTCCAAGCTGCGGACTGGGTGGGTGAGGCCAGCACCCCCCAACCAAAGGCAGTTCCCCCACCCTCAGAAATGAGTGAAACACATTAATCACACTGATAATCAGGGAAGAAGGTACAAAACCATGTGTGGTCTGGGCAAGCGGGGGGAGGGGGGAGGAGGGAGGGAGGGAGGGAAGGCGGGGAGGGAGCGAGAGCGACTGATCTATAATGGTACCCAAATCACAACTAAAACACACATATACAGAACTTCAAAGATATTTTCCTTTTATAATGAAATTATGAAATCAAGGCTTCCAGGTAGATCAAAATAGCTTTGCTTTCCCCAAGGAAATTGGTGGAAGACCTGAAAGAAAGTTCAATGGGAAGCATAGTCTAGTAGTTGACCCCAGGCCACAGATGAGCAGGTAAAGTCTGAGTTGGGAGGAGAAACGCCAGCTTCCCGTTCTGCCACGCTGGCCCATCAACCTGCCCTTCAAGCATCCACGAAGGGCAAGGAACGCGTTTTGGACAAGAACACAAACTGAGAGATGCCCCAACTGCCGCTCTATATACCCAGAAAAGGGAGACGTGGCACACTTGGCCAAATAGCCCCATGGCCTCTCCCTGTTCTAAGGTGCATGGCTTAGGAAGTAATCCTTACGTATGTATTTACAATAAGTGTTAATTTAATGCGGTAGTTATTTCTACATTTCAAAAAGGCTATCATGAATCAGTGATACATCTTACAGTTGACTTCCTCGAAGTCAAGGGAATACAGTCATTCAGATCTGGGTAATGTAGAAACTGTTATTCTAACCATGAACCATGACCTGCCCCTTTCTGGCTAGTGAATCGTGAGGTTTGGGGTGTGCTCAGCTCTATGTGGACCAGCGGAGGAGGAAATGCGGCCCAGATCTCCGAGTCTCCTGGTCACCATCACACCCAGGACTGGTGACCAGGGTCCCTCTTCTCTACGCCCCACAGGGGAAGGCCTGCATGGGGCTCGCGTGCCACATGGCTCTCTGTCATCCCAGGGGGCCTGTGTCAGGACCAACCCACCTCCCACGGTTCAGAGGTGCTAGCCTCTGGCCAGTGACCCAAGGAGAAAGCAGGTGACCACCTCCAGGGTCAGCTTAATTCCCGGATGGCTCCTCTCTCCCCAGTGAAGGGCACAAGCCATGCTCTAAGCCTAAAGAAATGACAGCTCGGGTTTCCAAAGCTGAGCAGAAACTGTAAGAAGAAAAGCACTAGACCAGAAATTGAGACCTGGGTCCTACAGCATCCTTCATCCTGATGCCCATTCTAACTGTGCGACCCTGGTCAAGCTCTTTAACTTCTCTAGGCCTCAGTTTCTCTACGGACGGACCAGAAGTAGGAGCCCCGACTCTATCTCATGGCACACAATTAGAGTAAAAACAAAAAAGCATGTTATACAAACGCAAAAGTAGTATTCCCTGATATCAATCCCTCCCACCCCGGTGGAGAGGGGAGGACCCCAGTGACTCACCAGTGGCTCTATTGTGCTGAGGTCTTTAATTTTGTTGCCACTTAAATTTAGATGCGTGAGGTTCGGACACTTTTCTGCCAATACTTCCAGGCCCCCTGAGATTCTGTTATCGCTTAGTTCAAGCTAAAGAGGCAGGGAGAGAAAAAGCAGAAACGGCTTTTAAAATGAAGGCTCTGGGCTCAGGCGGCCGGCTCCCCACAGACAGGCCAGCAAGGGAGTTGGCTAAGGAAGGACCTGGCAGGCGTGCTGGGGCTCGCACCTGGCCTCCCCCCTTCAGTGACGCTCCCTCAATGTGGAACAATGACCCTTCCCTCCTCCCCAGCCCGGCCTCCCAAGCACACACGCTCCTCCGCTCTATTTACCTTCTTAAGTTTGTTTAACTTTGGTAAGTTTGCGACTGAGGTGAGGCCTACGTTGATTGTACTCAAGAACTCCAGTTCTTCAAATTCATCTGTGAGGCCTTCAATTTTGCCTTCATTTGACCGACAGTTGTCCAGGACAAGCTCTTTCACCTGGAAAGGGAAGGAGGGCGTGAACCAACTGGGCGAGGAATCGGGACCGAGGCCGGGGTCGGGGGAGGGCAGGAGGCAGGCCAGGAAGCATCGCAGCACCAGCGCCCACCCTGATCTTTCTGCCTTTACCAATGCTGGGGGGATCTAGGGGAGCGCCGCGGTGAACGGAGCTGCAGAACCAGGGGGCCCCTCCGGACGGGAGCCTTGGCTGGACTGGAGAAGACAAACGCAATAAGCCCCGCTGCTGTCGGCAAGGCTGGGGGCGGTGTCTCGTTCCAACCCTACTGCCACACCTCAGCCCCCAGCTCCCCACGGTACCAGCCATAACACTGTTGGCAACCTCTCGGCCTTGCCATTCCATCAGAGCCCCTCTCCCGGCGCACACCGCGGCCCCGCCTGACCGTCTTACTGAGGCCAGCTACCTACGACTTCGCCTCCTCAGCCCCCCACGGGCCTTTCACCTCCATGTGTCCGTGGACGGCTCCCAGGACGTCCCCGTCTGCTTGCACTCGTACCTGCCCCTGCCACCACGGTCACAGCCTGCCCATCCGGCCTGGCATTCACCACTTGGCCCCACTGTAAGGGTCACAGACCAGGGACCCCTCCAACTCTCCATCCTCTAGACCAGCGCTGTCCACCAGAACCAACAGAACTTCCTGTGACGATGGAAACCCAACTAAGAGATGAGCCACTAGCCACATGTGGCCGCCGAGGAGAGGCTGAGGAACTAAGTTCTACATTTTATTTAGTTGGTTTCTTTTTTTGGCCACACCGCACAGCACG